AAATCTGAAACAGCTCTCGAACTCACATTTTTACATACCAAAACTGCTCCCCTGTTTCCTAATTTAACCACCTTTAAAATCGTCGAAAAATCATTTCTTTCACAGTCCACAACCAGAAAATCGATCCCCGTTAATGACTCCAATGTTTCTTCCGCCTCATCGATGACAATTTCCGGTGACATTCCGGTGATTTTCTCCATAATTGATTTATACTCTGTTTTTGTATCTTCGTTTGGGACTATGCAAATATGCCTACCACCTGTTTGATGAATTGCGTTAGAGAGGCCAATGCTGGTTGATGTAGCGCCACCTCGAGACCATGTCTCTACGATCATTTGCGCGTTCCATCCTGCAGCCATGGCTGATATTAACTCCGCTTCTGTGGATTCTTGCAATAACCCGCACTGCAAAATGATTGAAAAATGAGCGATGTACAGATTCATAATAGCCATATAAAAATTATTGTCCTTATTTGAATTAAGACATGAATGACTCAAAACCTAAATGAAATCTCAAATGTGTAGATACATGTATAACATTTTTTCCGAACTCATTAACTCTAAATTTTGAATTCATGAAACAAAAAAACGAAAAATAATAGACTTACCGATTTAACAGTATCAAGATAAGCTTTAGATGCTTTTTCAGGAGACCAAACCAACTTCATCTCTCTCTGAATATCTTGTTTATGAATTTTGTTAATATCTTTACTCCAAAGTTTCAAATTATATGTTAGAACAATAAGTCTAAATAATTTATAGGAGAACAAAAAAGAAATTAAATTAATGAATTTCTAAAAAAAGTATGAAATGAAAAGGTCAGTTTTTAGAGAGTTGACATTAAATCCAACGTGGGAAGATTAGGATTAAAATTTGTGGATTTGATTGGAATCTTTCCTTCTTTTTATATATGCCTCTAATTCTTCTTACTGTAATATTTTATCCTAACTATGATAAGAAGTCACTCTACATATCAATTACTTAGTAATTTAAGGTGGAATAATATGTTATAACCAGTTAAATTGTATTTTAATAATATAAGCATAAGGGTTTTTTATTTCTATCAGTAAAATTATACGTGGTATATTGTTGTTGTTATTAAGGGATCGTTTGATTCATGTACTAGTTATGCAAAATTTGTCATTCGAGGATTGCTTATAAATTAACATGCGGAGACTAATACTAGAGAATTATTATAAATTACTTGCTTTAAAAAGATATTTTTATCTATAAATAGTGGGATAAGGCATAAGTATTCCAAACTATGACCGAAATTCCAGAGATACACCTTAACTAAACTAAGGTCCTATTACTCCCTCCCCCCCCCCCCCAACTCATTTTTTTTTTTGTAATTTTGCACACCTTTTGTCTTACGTGACACACTCTATGACTCCACGCAATTGAGGACGCGGGAGATATTGAATGCCACGTAAGTAAAAAAAATGTACAAAATTACAAAAAAAAAATGGGTTCAAGAGTCTAATAGGACCTTAGTCTAGTTAAGGTGTGTCTCTGAAATTTTGATCATAGTCTAAAGGGATACTTATACCTTTTCCCATAAATAGTTTAATCATTTTGATGCTCATACACACATTGTTTTTTTCAGTATTCTATTTTGTATAAAATAATATATAGATATTCATATAACTTAGTGCGAACAATTTTAATTATGTGATAGTTAATTTTTCTCATCTTATGAGAAATTTATATTAATACACATACTCTTATTTTATATTCTATCCAACATAAAATAATACGGTCATTCAAATCTTTCTAAGCAAATCTTTTGCTGCCAATGGAATATATTTATCTATACTTTGTTCTCATTGGTCGGTTACTCGTTGAGACTGACATGTCATGTCTACTATTTATGACCATATCTTATCAATCTCTTGGATATTTATTTTTACTCGATATTCGATATATGTTTTGAATTCTTGATTAATTTGAATAGACATATTATGGAATAATGCATTTCTATTAGGATTTTATTTTATTTTTCGAGACTCGAATTTAAAATTTCTCATCAAAAATGAAGGAATTAATCTTATCTATACCATCATAACTATTGATAGTTTACTTGGATGATAGACGGAGTCACTATTTTAATTTTATGAATTTTAAGTTTAAGAACAACAATTTTGATTACTAATGACAACCTTATAATATATACAAATACACAATTTAAACAAAAATTACTAAATTCGGCAAAATATGTATTTGAATTTCTACCTTCCTCTAACTTGGATATTTCACTTTCTAATGTTATGAAGTCGTTCATCCACAAATAATAATCAAAATATTTTAAGAAACATTCGACATGTTGATTTTGTTATTTCTATCTTACATTAAAATAAATAATTTGAAATTTTACAAAAACTAGTTCGGAAAGTATTTCAAATGAAATACTGACTTTCACTCGCAAAACTTCATTTGTCTTTAGTAAAATTCATGTCCTAAAACAATGTCAACTATTTTTTTTATAATTTTTTCAACTACAACAAAAAAATTATCCAAATAAATAAAAATATTCTTATTGACTTTAATCCATTATATATTTCTCACTCAATATTAGTCGGTGTGTTTTGTCAATGTTTGTTGTACTTTCCCACGACTTATTCTCTTTTTTTTGTTGTATACTGTCAAAGGTCAACTAGGATCTCCATGCCTAATAATATCGTTTGCCTGACTATTTTTTATTAATAAAATAAAAAATTATTATAAAGAATATACTATATAACATTGTATTTATGTATATATAAAGTTATATATATTTCAGAGTCTATTATGTTAATTTAGAGCTTACATTATTTAAGATTATGTATTCATTAATTTTTTTTTATTCGAAGTACAACGTCCACTGACTGATTCGGATTGACAGTGGAAAGTTCCATTTAGGTTAAAGCTTACTCATTTTTAAAGACGATTTTATTTTCAAAACCTTTCATTACGATTATGATGATATCGATTGTTTATTATTTTATTCTTTTGATTGTAAGATTTAATTATATTTATGTATTTTTGCCGCTATTTCAATTGTTTGAAAAGAAAATTTTTCAATTCACATTGCTTTAATTAATACAAATTAGTAGTAAACTTTCATAAAGTCGGTGTTAGTGAAAGCAGAGATTTTTAAATCCATAAAACAAATATAGCTTTATGTATAAGCTAAGATTTTAAAACTACTATTTATTTTTATACTATATAGTTTTATAGTGGTCAATAGTTTAATCCTAACCATGTTGCCATTTTTAGTATATAGTCACAACATAAATGAGTTTTAATTATTATTTGTAAGATTCAAGTATATATATATATATTGAAAAGAGAAGAAGAAAGGAGATAGTCGCCACTAAAAGTATGTTTTAGTGGCAAAATTAATCACCACTAAAAGTATGTTTTAGTGGCAAGATTAATCGACGCTAATACCATTAATAGTCGCCACTAAAAGTATGTTTTTTTTCAAGATTAGTCGCCGCTAATACCTATAACAGTTGCCACTAAAAATATGTTTTTTGTGGCAAAATTAGTCACCGCTAATACCTATAATAGTTGGCTCTAAAAATAAGTTTTAGTGGCAAAATTAGTAGCCGCTAATATCTATAATAGTCGCTTAGTATGTTTTACTGGCAAAATTAGTCGCCGCTAATATCTATAGTAGTCGCCACTAATACCTATAGTAGTTGACTACTTTTAGTGGCAAAATTAGTTGCCGCTAATACCATAATTGTCGCCACTAAAAATATGTTTTAGTGGCAAAATTAGTCGCCGCTGATACTTATAATGGTCGCCACTAAAAGTATGTCTTAGTGGCAAAATTTGTCGCCGCTAATATTTATAATAGTCGCCACTAAAAGCATATTTTTGTGACAAAACTAGTCGCTGCGAATACTTATAATAGTCGCCACTAATAGTTTGATTTAGTGACAAGATTAATCGCCACTAAAAGTTCGTTTTAGTTTCAAAATTAGTCATTGCTAATACCTATGATAGTCGCTACTAAGGATTATTTTAGTGACAAAATTAGTCGCTGCTAGTGTATATATTATACCTCAACCGATAAGTTGTGATATGTTAATTAAGTACCTTGAATTCTTAATCTAATGTTTCATGTTCGAGGTTTGAAAACAAAATCATCTCTTATATAGGAGTGTTTTACCCCAACACCAAAGTCGGACATTCCAGCATGAATATAGTGAGGCCGAAAATTGGATACCGGACACTGAACGTGAAATCCAAAAAAAATAAAATGAAACCCTTGATAATATCCAATACAAACTCAGGTTTTCAATTTTGTAATTATGTCTTTTTTTAAAAAAAAAATAATTGATAATTCAATATTACATTATATTGTATATAATAATAATAACTCCAGATAAATGTCTACTTTGGTGCAATATTTTCTTTTAATAGGAAAAACTGATATAAAGAAGTTTAAAAAGCTATACAGACCCAGAGGGGAAGCAGATAATTCTAACCACCAAGACTTAAACAGATGAGAAGAAATCGTGTACTTTTCACCCACTTCATTACCGTTAGGCCATACCTTTGGATCCGACTTTTGTATCCGTTTTATACTTTTCTCGGATGGCTCAATAGATTCTTCTCGTCTCCACTTTGGCACGTTGAAGCTGTAACCATTTTGCACCCTTTAAAGAACTCCAAATCAAAACATAGTTAGAAATAATAAGAGAAGCAATGACAAGAATCTTACACTTGATGATGGCGATTCGAGTGGTTGAGGTATTGTACAACACTCATATTTGTCTTTGTTCATTCAGCAGGTAAGGGATTGCGATAGCTTGTATGCTAACGTCACCCAAAGAGGAAGGAACAATAAAGAGGTCGGTGATATAGATTTTCCATCTATATTGAATCCCAACAAGTTGAGCAACGTACATACAGTGGATCTCAATCCCCTACGTGCCAAAAAAAAGAAAGAGTTTCGCTCGATTAGCCTTCCTGATGCACTGACAGGATTAGTAGAAAAACTTCAACAGATTACAGTCTTCCACTTTTGATCACTCACCACTTTCCCCTTCCTGAGCCGACCTCCCCTCAATGGGTTCTAATTCCTCAGAAAGTGTCTAACTAACCTTCAAAATAAAAGGTTGAAATTATCAAGAAGACACACATACTGGTCGCCTATGTTGCTCAGACTTTTCAAAAATATTGATAGGTGTGTGTCGCATAATTTGAAAAATTCAACACAAGTACGGCAATATTTTGAGAGTCCGAGCAACATAATTGGTTGCTATGAATGAGAATTCAACTGAAAATCATTTTCTTTGTTTTTTCATCGAAATTAGGGACTGAAAATCATATTCAATTGGTCAAAAACTGCCAAGAACAGAGAAAACACGAAAGAGACGGAAGAATGAGCGTCTTAAGTCATTAATCAAAATACATAAGAAAACATCAGTATTTATACACGAGAGGAATAATAAGAGATCAAAAGAAGCAAAACCATTCTACATTTAAAATAAATCCAACAAAATATTATATAACTAATGCTACTCATTATTCTAGGATCAATGTAGAATCTCTCTATTTAAATTTTACCACACAAACTACATATTTCCCATTTATGAATAGTGAATACTCTTTAACCACAATGGCAGCATAACAATAACTAGGGGTCGCAAAATGGTTAAAACAAAAAAAGTAAACATAAACATCTGATCTCGGCCCTTTGGACATGGGTTGGATAACTGACTTTTTAAAAATTAATCAAATATGGATGTTATCAATATTATCCACTATATCAAATATGACTTTTCATGAGTTCTTGTTTTTGGGAGTCTAAGCTTATGTTGGCTTTAAGCTTGTGTTCTTAGTCCGTATTAAATATGGGCGGGTCGTATATTGTATCCATTTTAACCTGCCCATATCCGATCCTACCTGCCCGTTTGTCATTCCTACCAACAATTAAGATCATGACATATGCAATACAACTATCCATCTGAAATAAGATTGTCTACACTCAAGTCATTGCAATTCATAATCCACAAGTATTTCACATTATAGATGAGCATATATGATTTGATATGGACTAGTGTTTTGACATGCATTTGTAAAAAGGGTATTTAGACATGGACTAGTGTTTTGACATGCATTTAACTTGAAAAAATATTGAATATTTGTGAGTGGTAAAGAAAAATTCACTTGAAAAAGTTCATCTTCAAATATTTTCCAATTAACAATTCCAATATATAACTAAACGCTATTTTGAAGTGAAAATTTTGTATTGACAAAATGGAGCTTAGTATTTCCATTTATAGATAAATTCACTAAATGAAGGAATACCTCTGCCTTCAAGGGGTGAAGTGTGCAAGTTGCAACCATGAATCATCCAAGTAAGTGCATGGCGCAACTTCAGCTTCAGTAGGCCATTCAGCACCAACATCTATTTCGTCGAAATTGATTGGCTTCCATTTGCCATCTTTACTTCTTATAAGTGCCCGTAACCAGAGATTGCAGTGCACGTAAACAAGATCATTGAATCTATCAAGCTCCAACCTTTCCCGTCTTTTTTCATGAACACCATCAAAAGTGCTCCAGTTCCATCTACACCAGTGAAGACTACAAGGTTGACTCAAAATCCGTATAGCAGCTCTCTGTAAAGTTGGAATTTCGTAGCCATAACCCGTCCACCAATCAGCTGAGGACACATAGGGCAGACTTTTAAATGCTAAGACAATTACAACAACAACATACCCAACCTTAAACTAGGCTTTCTTGCATAGTAGCCTACCTTTAGTCTGAGGTTCGCTACTTGCTAGCCTTGTAGTACTACAAAGTAGGGTTTGGGGAGGGTAGAGTATACTTAGACCTTACCCTTATCTCTGAGGTAGAGAGGCCATTTCCAATAGACCCTCGGCTCATGTAAAAAAAGTCCAATGTAGTCCCGAAAAGAAGTAACAGAAGTACAAGAAAAAACAGATAATAACAAACATAACAGATAGTAACAGAACGGAAACTACAACAAAATGATACGATTCAAAGGAGAAAATATGGAATCAACTAGAAATCTTGTTTCCTATAAGTTGATGGTACAATCAACCTATCGACTTCTCCCTACGCACTATGCCAGAGTTTATAGAATGATGTAGCTATGAATTAAACATGAGAACTACCTTCTAACATGCTAACAATATGCAAGTGCACTTCTGGCGTTGAAGAATTAATCGTACCTGGGGCATTCAGTGTCCTTCCCTTTATTGCAAATTCAGTCCCTAAAGCACCTTGCGCATTTATGTACATCGGATGCTCTTTAGTAATTTCTACTTTATCTTTATCCTCAGAAGCCATTTTCGTCATGGCTTCTTGAAAGCCATTCCTGATCCTTGCATCAATCTTAAAGCTCAAGTTGTAGAAAATGGAGGGATTAAGGAATGCTGCTGCTGCATGTAATGGGGATTGAAGAAGCATGCTCCATCTACTGTCAATTATATCCCAAATCGGCACAAATTTTTCATCAACGTCCTTATAAAATGCTTTAATGGAGAGCTTTGCTCTTTCGACTCCCTCGTACATATAGGCCATAGCAGGCATGTCTCCGTCGACAATTCTCAACAGTTTAAGTAGGGGTTCAGAAACCGTAACAGCTTCACGTGCAGATCTCCAGAATCTTTCAAGGCACAACAATGACTTTATGGCTTGGACTTCGGGGTGCCTACTATATATGGATGACAACCACTCTGCATGAGAGAACATGTGTTTCAAATTATCCTCTTGAACTACAAGGGCCCGTAAAGAGAGAAAAATTGCTACGAAGTTTGTAATTCTTGGTCGAACGAGGACAAACTCCCTTCCACCTGAAAATTTTCTCATCATATCTAGAATCCAGTCATTACTGTATATGTATTTTGTGATCATATTTGCCTCTTTAAGGACAACATTCACCCAGTCATGCTCGCTGAAATCCTCTAACATTTTATTGATACAGTGTGAAGCACACGGAGACCAGAACACCGAAGGGTACTTCTTCATGACAAGCCTTCCAGCATATATGTAACTAGCAGAACTATCTGTCATTACTTGGACGACATTTTTAACACCAATTTCCAGAACAACTGATTCAAGCAACCCGAATAGATAATGAGGATCATCTGCATGATCAGATACGTCTACGGACCTAAGGAACATTGTCCCTTTAGAACATGTCACAGAAAATACTACAAGGCATTTGGCCTTTCCGTCAGACCAGCAATCACATAAGATTGTGCAGCCTGTTTCCTTCCATTCATCCCTTAATCTCTTGTAACCGTCGTCGACATCGACTTTGACTTTCTCCAAAAGTTCAGTGCCCAATTCTTCAGTACATGGAGCTTTATACCCCGCTTCACACTCAAGAATAGCATCTACCATTTCCTGATAGTAAAAGGACTTTGCGACTGAAAAAGGAATTGCATTGTGGTAGAAAAACTCAGCAATCTTCTTATCAGCATTGTCCTGTTTCTGCTTTTGAACATCGTCAACTGCTGGCTGTGAACTAGAAGAACGGTGTGCTAACATAATGGACGGAGGACATGGACTACCATTCTGTCCACTAAATCCATCATGAGGAGGACGGATTCCACCGCTAGCTGAAGAGCTACTACTTTCCTGACCATTGGCAGCTTGATCCAATTTTGCTTTCTTAGGATTTTTCTGTTTTTTTGGATTGTTCAAAATACTTTTAATGTGGTCCCTTACCTCATTCGGGACTTGACCACATGGTACTATGTCTTTGTTTTTTATTTGAGCCAAATGGAACTTCATTCGGTAAACCCCTCCGCTGAACTCCCGCCGACAGTAGTTACATCTTACCTTCTGTCTAGTAGCATCAACAAGGACACAATGTTCCCAACAGGCATCTCTTCCTCTAACCATAGCTATAGACTATGCAAAAAAGATTTGTTTCCCCTGTACCAGCAATAATATTATAAATGACTTATGAACTAAAGCTCTCTACTTCATATCAAACTAGTACAAGAAGAAAATATTATCCCTGGACATAAAATGTGTAATCAGGTATGAAAGAATAATTCCACATCATTAAGATAAATGCTTGAAGCAAGGGATTGACAAGAATGTATGACATTACAATTACCAAGCAAAAAATACAACTTTTTTCCTTTTTTGTTTTTTTTGTTTTTTGAAGACCATGATGTTTGTATTAGCTTGCGCGCGGGATACCTACTACTCTCCAACAACACACGTACCGGTAACTCTGTCCACCAAATCTTGGATAGATGAGAAAAATCTCCTAGTGTTTTTGCCTCTGCTAACACACGTACTGATAACTCTGTCCAATAAGGTCTGTATAGATGTCCTAATGTTTTTGCCTACACTGAGATTTGAACCAAAGACCTCATGTTTTCCCTTTCTATTATGGAACGTTCAAAAATATTTGACACCATTCCAATATTAATGTTGTTTTGTATAGCTTTCAACAACAACAATAACAAGTCCATTGAAATCCCATTAGTCGAGTTTGGAGAGGATAGTACGTATCCAGACCTTACCCCTGCCTTGTAGAGATAAAAATGTTGTTTTCGATAGACCTCCGACTCAAGTAAACAATAACAGAAACTTTACGTAAAGGAAATACAATAGTGAAAAAGTCATGTAAAAAATAGTAAAGAAAAGATCCGCAGCAACAACAAATAATAATGATAATCAAACCAAACGAAACATCAAGTTATAACAAAATCCAAGAAAAAGATAGGAGAGTAATAATAATAATAATAATAATACTAACAAGTGAAACTAGACAACACACAACTACCTACTACCCTAAATACTCAATCTCCATATCCTGCTATCTAGAGTTATGTCCTCGATAAGAAGCAGGTATGACTTCTCTTGCTTTTAAATAGCTTTCATGACTTCAAATTCATTTGAGTACTCAAATTTAACTAACTTCTCAACTACTACCTACTTTTCTTCAACTTCTACATACAATGCAACCCAAAAGAAAAAGAACAATAACAACTACAAAATTCAAGGTAGTAGATCAATTTTTTTTAATTTAGCTCATAAATTATCAGTTTAACAAAGTTTTTTGAATTAATTAATGCTTTAACAAAAAAATTCACAACCTTATACACAAAGGGAAAAGATGAACTACTTTTTTAAATATTATAGCTTCTAGTTATAGAAGGATATAAAATATTTACCGGAGTAGAACTTTACCTGGTGGTTATTGTGGTTGTTGACGGTGGTCGGAGAAAAATCGGCGATGGCAATCCGAGGAAATGAAAGAATACGGCGATGAATTTGCTGTTACTCGCCCGGCCGATTTTTAGGGCGAGTTAGCGAGAAGATCGCTTCTTTGCCTTCTCACGTGAGCTCACGTGCTTCAGCTATTTGGGCTCTTCTACTTCTTTACTATTCGGGTCGGTGCTCCGGCCCATATTTTGTTGGGAAACTTACATAAATCTCACTAGTTTAAGAGTTAATTAATTACTTTAATAAACTTTAGTTTGTAATATAACGTATCTTATCAAATTTTGGTGCCTCCAGATACATGTATCTCGAATACATGGGGTCAGATTTAGGTGCAATTTGTTCGAGATACATTGCATCCAAGTGGATTCGCATGTATATGATATACATAGAAAATCCCACTCGTCTCCCTCGCCTCTCTCACATCTTGCTAGCTACTCTTTCATGAACATGTTATCCCAAATCCCTGAGAATCACTCTAGATACATACAATTACATGTATCTAATGTGTATCTAGTGTGATTCGCATGTATATGGAATACATACGAATCTTCTTTGCCTCCCTCCCCAATCTCGTTCGCCTTTCTCCATATTTTTGTGTATCTAATAGAAAAATACACGTATCTAAGTGTAATATACATATGAAACTCTTAATTAGTGGTAAGATACGTAATATTTTAAAAGTATATGTAATAATATAATATATGGTAGTGACGTATGTCTAATTATGTAGTTTTTCCTTTTTTTTACCTTATTTATAGTGATCTTTACACGAATAGTCTATCAAATTTATTGTTTAATCTTTCTAATCAATATATATAAATTATACGTTCATTATATATATATATATATATATATATATATATATATTCCAATTATTTAAATTTATTCAACTAAATGAGCAACTATTTAGATTAATTCTTAGAAAAAGTATCTAAATAATCATTTGTAGAACTGGCTATTTAAAAAATAGTTGAGGTTTCAAGGAGAATAATGAGCAAGAGATGAAAATGAACAGAGAAAGAGTTGATAATTTTTATTTCAAAAAAAGCATATTTTGAGAATTAGAATAGATTTGAAAAGATAAGTATTAAGTATAGCTATGAAAGACAAATACGAAGAAAAAATTTTTGAGGCAAATACGAATTCAAAAATTTGAGACTTGTAAGATTCTAAATACTGAATTCATTCCACTTGTATGAATTTGGATTCATGTTCATTATATGTTGAGTTTTTAATAGATTTTTCACAAATAAATTTTGTTTCTAGTTGAAAATAATGGATCCAAATAAATTTGTTGATGATATGTGGCATCTGCCTATGCAACATATTTTGTATCTCTTTCCTTTTAATTGTTTCTATTCAACTTGTATTTTGGAGTTGAGATGGATCCTTAAAATCCGCTTCCACAAAAAAAAATTATATTAAATATTTTAATATCAACATATCTTATATAGTCATAATTTAATTGAAATTCATTTGGATTGATTTGTCTTTTTCAAATTTAATAGTAGTGTAAAAGGGAATTCACAAACGAATTTGATCTTCTATGAGATTCTATAACATCGTTTGGCCGAACCTAAAGGCATTTGGACATGATTTGATTGAATTTGAAACCTCAACAAAGTCGTTCAAACATAACCTTTCGGTTATTAGATTTTTTTTCGAAAAATATCTCTCTTAATTAAGCATCTCACTTAATTAACACAATCATTTATTGAAGCGGTAATAAATAGTAAATTGCTTCTTATTTTTAAAAATGTCAAACATTTTGAAATAAGTTTAATTTGTCAAAAAGACTAGTAGGAATATTTAGAACATAAATAATAATTACGTATATTAAATGGTCTAAACAAAAATCCATACACCAAGAATGTAACACTAGACCAAAATTATAAAATAAAGTGAAACAAACAACAATACATGTAAACTCCAACATATGAACACAAATTAGTGCTTTTAAGCCAGCATCAAAGAAGCACAAATTACAAGAAAAAATGACATTCCACTCCATGTAAATTTGTTTACTCCATTGCTGCCATTGTTTCCACCTGGCGTGACTATAAATTATTTCATCAAAAAAAAATATTAGAAAAATATGTGAATTATGAAAGCTCTTCTAGTCTAGATATATAAGTAGAAAGTTTATATGACATACTTGATTAGAGCAAAATTTAAACGAGAAAGATTTAATTTTACTATTGTATACTAAAAACAAAGTAAAAATATATATTCATATAGTAAAATTCTATCGTTATACAGTGGTAATACCAAACTAAAGAAGGCAAGATGTGTATCTTTTACACATACATTTATCTGTTAAATTATTTGGTTTAGTGTAAATATTGAGTACGGATAAGTGATTACTTAAAAATACTATAAGAATTTATGGTCTTAAACATATTATGACACTATATTAATACACATTTTCAAAAGTTTTATTTTAAAATTATACATATCTGATAAATTTATATCATATAAACTGAAATGAGAAAAGAATATTCAATTGCATATAATATATTTCTTTCGTGAACCAAAAGAAAAAACTTTTTTTCTTATTTTCTTGTCCAACATTTGATATGACTATTGACTATTATTAATCATTAGTAGAACATTATTGAAAAGTGGAACAAGTAATTGAATACAGCTATTATGTCATTTTCAATATTGGTGTCCCAAAATTATATTAATTGAAACAAAGACCAAATCAATAGTCTAATTTTGAAGCAATTTAATTAACCATAAGTACTAAATATCTCATTGACTATAAAAAGGGACAATGTTCCATCATCAAGTAATAAATAAGATAATTTTGATATATATATATATAGGCCTTGTTTGGGATAATTAATTAATGAATATTTATTATTGGTAAGAAATAGAAAATAAAAAATTATTTTTAGTTACCTGGGGGTGGCAAGCCTTCAGAACTTGGACCTGGAGCACCACCTATATATAAACAAAAACAACTAATCAAAACACTAATAAAGCAGTATGTCTTAATATATGCGATGAGATGAATATGTTTCCTTATTTTTTTTAATAAAAAAATTCAAGTTTAAATAGAAAAATTTCTAATAAGAAATATTTTTTTCTTTTACTTGTCTTATACGATACGAATTCAAATTAGTCAAACTTCCATATCAATAATAAATTTCAGATTAGTTAGACTTTCATATGAATAATAAACCCGACTAATTTTGCCAAATATGGTGTATTCTATTCGAACTCATCAAGTCTTGTTGAGCTATGTGAAATGACTAAATTACGTTGAATTTAAAATTTTGATGACGAACAAATATGACATATATTATATAAAAATAATAATATTCTTAACAAGTATTAAATAAAAAACTAATAGTCTTTATGTTTGACAAATAATAACTACGAAAGAATTAGATCTTTATCATGTTTACCAAAAAATTGAGTTACAATTCTATGCATGAAGTAAGTAAAAATACTTAATTCAAGATGAAAATTTTATTATATTCACACAAAATAAAAGAACTTTGAAATTGAAAAATCTAGTAACGCAAGTAAATCAAAATTTATGTCAGGTAAGACTCAACTAAAAGTAAAGTGCTTTCCCATCAAAAACCTTTTATGTTCCTATATATAGAACTCGAACTCAAACTCAAACTCAAAACTTGTACAGGATAACGAAATCTCATCACATTCAGAGCCAAAAAAATAAGATAAATTTAGTTAATTAAAGTGAAAAAAGAAGATGATGAAATACCTGTAGTACAAGCACTAAGATCACCAGAAATATTACAAGCCTTAGGAAGTGCAAGTGCTTGAGTAATATTAATACCAAGTGAAGGCAGCAAAGTTGGATTTTCATACAATTTACACAAACAATCTAAATCATTTGTTATTGCGTCTCTCAATGGATCACAACACTCCGCAGGGGGACTCGATGCGTTAAGGTAAGGCGCACATGGCACTAATTTCGAGGCACACGACGGCGGCGTTGTTTGCGCCTCTGACGCAATTATCGCCGCCGTCAACGCAATCGAAATTAAAACAAACATTTTTGAAGAAAACATCCTTGCTTTTTTTTCTTTTTCACTAGTAATTTAATTTGGTTGTTTTCTTATTGTTGTTGTGTTGGAAATGTTTATTGGTATACTTATATAGGAGTGGTTGGTTTGGGTTTCTTTTACTAGTCAAAATATTTGTCTAAGTTTTCATATGTATATTCTTTAAGCAAAATATTTCCTCCGTTTTAAAGTAAGTGGAAAAAAAAAACAAGTCTCAAATCAATAAGTATCATTTTAGGATATCATATTTCATTTTTCTAATAGTGTTTAGTTTTTAAGAAACATTTATTAAATAAGGATAATTTAGTAAACTACATAGATTTCTTAATGAACGTGATTTTTGTTAAGATAACACTTATTTTAGGATAGAGAGAGTAATAGTTAGGAGGGGTATTTGACTATTTTGTCCTTATTTATATCTTAATATATAATATAAGATCTTTTCAAAAAACAATTATGATTGAGGAATAAAATGGAAAAATAACAATTATCTTTGTCTTTTAACTTCTAAATAACAAGTATTTTGAGATATAATAATTTTCAGAATTTAACATTATCCGAAGGCTAATTTCCGAAGTGTTATATTTACATAAATCCGCTTAATGGTAATTTGTGCCATACAAATAAAATTAATCGAGTTTTAAAGCAATACTATATGAGGTATTTATCGAATTCAACTTTAGTGCAAAGTCTTCGGTTTTCTACATGCATTTGGTCGCTATATCATATATAGCACGTCAAGTTAATTTATTTATGAAACTCAAATAGACTTTTCATAAGAAAAAGATAAAACAATCATTTTTGTTGGTTTGTTAATATATGTTTTTATCACCATACTTCTGCGTACTTTTACTATAGAAGAAAAAAGAAAATTATTTTATTTATTGATTAAACAAAACTTTAAAATATAAAAAGCAAAACAAAAAAAAAAAATGGTTTCGATATGGACACGTATTTTCTAGAATATTTCTTGTTCTATTTTCTTTTCTATTTGTGTTTTTCTAGAAGGATAACCTGGAATAAGAGAATTTTCGTATATTATTTTTAGTATAACTATTTGATATTCAATATTTACTAATTTCATTAATTTTAATTTATATTTCTTAGGGTCCATTACAAGAAAAAGACTTGTAACTATTGTATAATTTTCATACAAAATTATGCAATGATAGTTTGAAATGTAGGTGTGAAGAGTACTTAAAGAAGGACTCGGTTAGGTACTTGACTTGGTCAACTACATGGTATGATATTCTTTCTGATGTTTGTTCGATATTTATTATGGAGTTTGACTAATTCAAATTTGTATTAAAATTATTTAGATTGGTGGATAACATAATTAATTATTCTTTATCAAAAACGATTTCATACTCAAAAGTTAAATTTTAAATTTTTAATTAATAATAAAAAAAGTATTTATTATTCCGCAACATGATTTTTGATGGTGTGAATGGTATGATATGTTGACTTGAAAAGTAGTATACTCACTATAATAAGATAATACTATCTAAGAAAGTGAAAGGAAATTATTGTTGCTTTAGTGTCTTGTTTTCCTTGGAGACTTGCAATTATTTCTAGCCTTCACACCCTCAACTTCTTGCTTTTACTTTTATTTTACTAATAATTAATTAAAAACCAAAAATCTTTGCAAATTACATACAATAATAAAGGAGAAATTAATTTAATTACCCTTTCATTAAAAATATAGCCTATGTATATATAAGTATAGTCATGGTCATGTATAGTTAATGTAATAACTCATATACACCTATTAGGAGTTGTTAATATGTTTAGTCGAATAATCAGTTATGTAACTTTTCTTTTTAATATATAGTCAACAATATTCTGAGTAGTTTACGCGTACTTTCATATGTAATCAGATCACAAAACATCTATAACTATATATATATTTAAATGCTGAATAAAGTTAATTAATGACACTTGAATTGATTTTCATTTGTTTGACCAAGCTATTGATACCTAAACTTTCGAAGCTTCTCATAATTGACTTGTTAGGCCAGCCAAGAAACATGAATTAATTAGACCATGGCACTATGTAACAAACTAATGTTTGTATTGATTGTAAAAGAACTTAGAAGCTGATCCAAGAATAAAAGGAAAATAGAAAAGAGAGATTCTAGACTGTTATTATGAAAATAATTAATTAAAAGAAAATAACATAATCCATAGCATAATTCTAATGAGATAGTTCATCATCTATATAGGCATCTTTAGTGCACATGCTCATTCCTTTAACTCGGATCCCAAATGTAATTTGACAGTATATCAATTGGGTCCTGCCTCGTGGCTAGATTCGTAACATACTATTTTAGTATTATTGATTAAAAAAAATACGGAAAAGGGTCAAAATTACCCATGAACTATGTGAAATAGACCACTTATACCCTCCATTACATTTTGGGATCAAAAATACCCCCACAGTTATCCCAGGAGACCACAAATACCCTCAAGAGTTAACACCCAATTTTTTAGTGACGTGGCAAGCCACATGGGACTAATCCCTCCACCTAAGCATTGCCAACTAAGATTCACTACAAAAGAACTTGACTTTTAGTGGCGATAAAGTCGCCACAAAATCCCAAAATATTGCCACTAAAGGTTATGAGTGATTTTTAGTGGCGACTAAGGCTCCAACAACCATTTATAACCTTATTTTCAACAAAAAAATATGATAATTAATTTTCGATTGCGACCTAATTTTCTAAAATAAATAACTTGCAATATCCATATTAAAAACATCCAATATTATTACGAAAAATAAGCAAAATTATTTCTCGATTCAAATCTCCTACTATATATATATATTGCATCATTGTACATTTTATACATTTACATATGACATAAAAATAAAACATATAGTGTCTTCAAACTCCTACTTAATCGATATCATATTTGGTTTTTTAAAAACAATGAAGAAAAAAACACAAAATTAGAATTTAATGTTAAAAACTTTTAGTGACGATTTTCTGGGCTTTTGTGGCGACTGTTGTTGCCACTAAAGGTCTAGTTCTTTTGTAGTGAATCCTAGTTGGCAACGCTTAGGTGGAAGGATTAGTCTCACGTGGCTTGTCACGTCAACAAAAATTTGGGGTGTTAACTCTTGAGGGTATTTGTGGTCTCTTAGGATAACAGTAGAGGCATTTTTTATCCCAAAATGTAATGAAGGATATAAATGGTCTATTTCATATAGTTCGGGGGCAATTTTGACCCTTTTCCAAAAAAAATATAACTTACATAAATCTCATTATTATTAATGTGATCATAGAGTGAACACTTTTTAAATATTCACTCTCTTCCCAATCCTTTTTAAATGTGATCATAGTGTGAACACTTTTTAATGATTCTTTTTTATCATAATTATTTCATGTATCTTTTAAATATGTTAAATTATCAGTTATGGAAAGTATATTTTACGTAATTTTTGAAACTTAAAAGTTCTATATCCAAACGAGTAATATTTTTCGATATTATGCAGTTCTTCTATGTCCACGTACGTTGCTATATAGCTTTAATTGGGAAGCATTTTTATTTTTTGTAATATATAAGCATATTTAAATTATTTTACTGCAATAAACAAAAAACTGAATGATATATATATGGGGATTCAATTAAATTTAAATTTATATTAAGAAAAAATATATTTAGAAATAAAATATATTCTAACAAAGACAATTCTATACACCGTTTATTCATGAAAATAAAGTTTATAATACTTGAAATTAATTAATAATTAGTTGCTTCTTAAGATTAGTGTTACAGTTGTATTTCAAAAAACGAGGCACAGACCTTAATTAAATATAGGGACACTTGACATTTCTTGTCCTTTATTTATTTGTAGATTTGGAATTCGATTCTTCTGATATATAACTAAAAATACTTAATTTTTTATTTTATTAAAATTAGCATTGTTTTTGTTCCTTTTACATAGAAAAATATGTTAGATTTAGATTGTTTGAGAATTGTATTATCTTTAAATATAGTATAAAATCAACTTAATACATGTTTAATTAAACATTTTAATGGTTAATATATAATTCATTAATTTCAAAAGATTTACAAACGGAGGAAGCAAAAGTGCACATTGCATATGGAATTTATCGATATTTGAGGGACTAGAACCTTAATTATGAATATTTTAAATTTGGAAAAAGAAAAATATATCTTATTTAAATTTCACACTAATTTTGATTTATGAGATTGGTCGAAGCTTCCCTTCAAGATTTTGTCAATCTTGTGTTTAAATTTTTTGCAGGTACTTAATATTTTATGAGATTAGTTTAATTATTTAATTAATTTGCCTACTTCAGAGTTGACTACTAGCTAGTAACACTTGTTGCTTTATTTTTTGTTTAATCATTCGATATTCGTGATTTGCCTGACTAATATAAATTCGTACAGTAACAACTCTTACTATTGTGAGTGGCATTAGTGAATAGAAAAATGACGTCTTTTTTCAAGAAAAGTAAAAGAGAAAAAAAAAATCGAAAACACATAAGAAAATTTAATATATAGTATAAAAATAAGAAAAAACATGAATTATCAAATTTATATGGTGTAATTTTTCAGTAATGAAATATCGATAAATGCCAATTGGACAAGAGTTGTGCCACTAGGTTAGTTTATAGATAGATATTTATTACGTTACATTAAACTTTGTTACATGTCCATCTAAATTTTAGTTGTTGATAAGTTTGAGCCAAAAAAAATTAAAATTGTGAAGCTTCCTTCACATCTAAATATTGAATAGAAAAATGTCTTATTCTAGCTGGATTAAATTATAAAAACTCGAAAATCAAAAAGAAATAATAATTAAAATGTCAAACCTAAATGGTCATGATCAATATAAATTGTAATAGGTCGGTCCAGGATCCTTTCAATCTTTAATCAAAGATTTTGAGTTTGAGTTCATGATAATAACAAAAAAAATCTGTTGAAAGCAATACGTCAAGAAATAAATCCAACAATAAACTAATTCAAATGTAACCAGAGATCTCGAATTTGCTCAATTGACTATTACACAATACGATTTTTCAATAATGGAGA